GTTTTTATTACTATTGCTCTGTAGTACAACTTGAGATCGGGGATGGAGATACCTCCAGATGATCTGTTGTTGTACAGGATTGTTTTGGAGATTCTGGGTTTTTTGTTTTTCCATATGAAGCTGAGAATCCCTGATACCTAAACCACAAAAAGACCCAACAAAAAAATAGAACTTCAGACTTATCTCTCTTATGAACATTGACACAAAAATACTCAATAAAATACTTGCAAACCGAATCCAAGAACACATCAAAGATATCATCCACCACGACCAAGTAGACTTCATCCCAGGCATGCAATGGTGGTTCAACATACGGAAATCCATCAATGTAATCCACCCCATAAACAAACTGAAGGAGAAAAACCACATATCATCTCCTTAGATGCTGAAAAAGCATTTGACAAAGTCCAACACCCATTCATGTTTAAAGTCTTGGAGAGATCAGGAATACAAGGCACATATCTAAACATAGGAAAGGCAATATACAGCAAGCCTATAGCCAACATCAAACTCAATGGAGAGAAACTTAAATCAATCCCACTGAAATCAGGGACAAGACAAGGCTGCCCACTCTCTCCATACCTCTTCAACATAGTACTTGAAGTCCTAGCCAGAGCAATAAGACAACTAAAGGAGATCAAGGGGATACAAATCGGAAAGGAAGAGGTCAAAGTGTCACTATTTGCAGATGATATGATAGTATATATGAGCGACCCCAAAAATTCAACCAGAGAACTCCTCCAGCTGATAAACACCTTCAGCAAAGTGGCAGGATACAAAATCAACTCAAAAAAATCATAAGCCCTCCTGTATATCAAAGACAAAAGGGCCGAGAAAGAAATTAGGGAAACAACACCCTTCACAATAGCCACTAATAACATAAAGTACCTTGAGGTGACACTAACCAAGCAAGTGGAAGACCTGTTAGAAAAACTTTAAGTCTCTGAAGAAAGAAATTGAAGAAGATCTCAGAAGATGGAAAGATCTCCCGTGCTCATGGATTGGTAGGATTAACATTGTGAAAATGGCCATCCTGCCAAAAGCAATCTACAGATTCAATGCAATTCCCATCAAAATACCAACTCAATTCTTTACAGAGAAACACTTAAAGAGATGCTCAACGTCCTTAGCCATCAGAGAGATGCAAATCAAAACGACTTTGAGATTTCACCTTACACCCATCAGAATGGCTAAGATCAAAAACTCCTCAAGTGACAACTGGGTTCTTTCCATAGCCTTTGCTTTTCCTCAGATGCTGGAGAGGTTGTGGAGAAAGGGGAACCCTCCTCCATTGCTGGTGGGAATGCAAACTTGTACAACCACTCTGGAAAGCAATCTGGTGCTTTCTCAGACAACTAGGAATAGCGCTTCCTCAAGATCCAGCCATACCACTTCTAGGTGTATATCCAAAAGAGGCTCAAGTACATAACAAGGGCATTTGCTCAACCATGTTTGTAGCACCTTTATTTGTAATAGCCAGAACTTGGAAGCAACCCAGATGTCCCTCAATGGAGGAATGGATGCAGAAATTGGGCTACTTTTACATAATGGAATATTACTCATCAATTAAAAACAAGGAAATCATGAAATTTGCAGGCAAATGGTGGGATCTAGAAAAGAACATTCTGAGTGAGGCATCCCATAAGGAGAAAGACATACAGTATATACTCACTTATAAGTGGGTACTAGACTGATAACATAGGATACTTAGATACTGAAATCTGTACACCTACAGAAGATAAACAAGAAAGAGGACCATGAGTAAAATGATCAACCCTCACTTAGAAAGACAAATGGGATGAACATTGGAAATAGGAGAAAACAAGTAACAGGACAGGAGCGTACCACAGAGGGCCTCTGAAAGTCTCTACCTAGCAGTGTATCAAAACAGATACTGAGACTCCTAACCAAACTTTTGGCAGAGTACAGGGAATCATATGAAAGAAGGGGAGTTAGTATGACCTGGAGAGACAGGAACTCCACAAGAACCAAATATATCTGGGCACAGGGGTCTTTTTTTGTGAGACTGTGTCTCCAACCAAGGACCATGTATGGATATAACCTAGAACCCCTGCTCAGATGTAGCTCCACCTTTCTGTCTTTCTGGGGGTTGGGTGCCTGGGCATCTGCCAGAACTGGGTAATTTTTCCTGAGACATTTGGGGGATGGTGGTATCAGCTGAGTGCTCTGAGATCAGACCAGCAGTTCCCCTCCCTGTGGGTTTGTACCCGACAGAGAAACTCAGTCTCTGGTGCTCTGGGGCCCACAGTTCTATCTGGGGCAGCGAGTCAGGCAGCATGCATGCAGGACTCTGTGCCTCCCCGGCTCTGGCTCTGAGCTGGCTCCTGGGCACCCACAGAACCCGAGTCTCTGATGTTGTGGTGCCCACAGTTCAGTCTGGAGCAGTGATCAGAGCACACTGGCCTGTGGCTCTGGGCTGGCAACCCTGGTGCAACCAAGATCTCTTCAATGGTTTAGCTGGGTGAGTTAAAGCTGATTGAATCCCCCACTGTGGGGTATCCTCTCACCTGGGAAACACAATCACTTGTGTTTTAGGGCAGTGAGTTCTGACTGCTGGTCACTGATTCTGCTGTGCTGCTGGTCAGAACAAGAGTCGTCCCAGCGCTTCCATCTTTCCGACCCCCTCTCCAAGAAGAGCCACCACTCAGTTGACCATACCCAAAAAGCAGAGGAGAACTTCAGAACCCCGACAAGTGGATTCTCCCCACTCCAGGACCTAGCAGGCACCAGAAATTAACAGACAACACCTGAGACAGAGAGATGGGTAGAGGCCAGCGAAAAAGCACAACCAACAAAAGGCAAAAAATCAAGTAATCCAATTAAAAAGTGGAGTAGAGAGCTAAACAGAAAATTCTCAATAGAAGAATATCGAATGGCAGAGAAACACTTAAAGAAATGCTCAACCTCATTAGCCATCAGGGAAATGCAAATCAAAATGACCCTAAGATTTCAGCTTACACCCATCAGAATGGCTAAGATCAAAAACTCGAGAGACAACACATGCTGGGGAGGTTGTGGAGGAAGGGGAACCCTCCTCCACTGCTGGTAGGAATGTAAACTTGTACAACCACTCTGGAAAGCAATCTGGCATTTTCTCAGACAACTAGGAAGTGCGCTACCTCAAGATCCAGCCATACCACTCCTAGGCATATATCCAAAACATGCTCAAGTACACAATAAGGACATTTGCTCAACCATGTTTGTAGCAACCTTATTTGTAATAGCCAGAAGCTGGAAACAGCCCAGATGCCCCTCAGTGGAGGAATGGATGCACAAATTGTGGTATATCTACACAATGGAATATTACTCAGCAATAAAAAAACAAGGAAATCATGAAATTTGCAGGTAACTGATGGAATCTGGAAAAGATCATCCAGAGTGAGCTATCCCAGAAGCAAAAATATGCACACGGTATATACTCACTCATATAGACATATAATATAGGATAAACCTACTAAAATCTGTACACCTAAAGAAACTAATCAAGAGGAGGACTCTTGCTAAAATGCTCAATTCCTATCCAGAAAGGCAAAGAGGATGGACATCAGAAGAAGGAGAAAAGAGGGGACAAGTCAGGAGCCTGACACAGAGGACCTCTGAAAAGCTCTGCCCTGCAGACTATCAAAGCAGATGCTGAGACTTATGGGCAAACTTTGGGCAGAGTTGGGAATCTTATGAAAGAAGTGGGAAACAGTAAGATCTGGAGAGGACAGGAACTCCACAAGGAGAGCAACTGAACCAAAAAATCTGGGTACAGGGGTCTTTCCTGAGACTAACCCTCCAACCAAGGACTATGCATGGAGATAACCTAAGACCCCCTACACAGATGTAGCCCATGGCAGTTCAGTATCCAAGTGGGTTCCATTGTCATAGGAACAGGGACTGTCTTTGACATGAACTGATTGGCCTGCTCTTTAATTACCTCCCTCTAAGGGGGAAGCAGCATTATCAGGCCACAGAAGAAGACAATGCAGCCACTCCTGATGAGACCTAATGGACTAGGAGCAGAAAGAAGGAACAGAAGACCTCCCCTATCAGTGGACTTGGGGAGGGGCATGTATGCAGAGGGTAGAGGAAGGGAGGGATTGGGATGGGAGGAGGGAGGGAACCACAGGGGGTATACAAAGTGAATAAAGTATTACTAATAAAGAATTAAAAAAAAAACCAGTCTTCTTCTGTAGGCATGTAGCACAAGGGGCATTTTTCTGAACTAATGTTCTGGTCCTAAACTTTCTCCACAATATCTGATAGGGGTTAAGGAAGCATCTTCAAGCAGATGTGAATTCCTAGTGTTTTTGTGACTCCTACTGAGTTTATGGTCTCATAGTTACTGTAATTTTAAACATGTATGTTTTGTATGGGATTTAAATTTTCTTCTTCCTATAATCTTGTAATAGAAAATTCAGTTATTACAGCTCATCTTTTATTGGCAAGCCCTCATTTTTGTATTTATCAATTTATTTGGTTGTTCTTCAGTCTTAGTTCAGTAGGTGATTTGAGAAAGCTATAATTTTGGTTTTTTTTTGGGGGGGGTGTTTCTTGTTGCAAGCAATGGACATTTCATTTTGTATGTCTTAATTAGAAATAATTTCTGAAAAATCAAACTTTCTCTAAATTCTCAGATTATTTTGGTGATGGAACCTGTAGACCCTGTAGTGATATAGAAGAATTGCCTCATTCATATTAAAACACCATATATTTATGATGAATTACAGTAACAGTTATTAATCCTGTTTGACGAAAATATTTTAGATTTCAGTGGTAATGATAGACAGCTTTAAGTCTACAGAAAAACCTTGGGCGGTGAATTAACTATCCTATTTCTTATTGATAGAGGGCCCAATATTAGTATATGATAGAGGTACAATTTCAAGTCTTATTTTCTGAACCTCAAATTACATTCAATAACTTAAATATTATTGGCTTTCTTTTGCAAAATATACTTAGATTTCTTTTAATATTAGTCTTTTCTTGAATAGGCAATGATACAGGAAATGAGGAAGCCATTGGAGGCAATGTGAGCAAATACACAGTGCTTCCAAACGGATACTCTGGACAACCCAAGAAAGGACATCTTACCTTTGATGCTTGCTTTGAAAGTGGTAAGTTCATTAAAAACTTTTATCTTTGAGTTTGTCTGAGAAGGCTGTTTTCTCATAATCTGAGTCAATCTAACCATTCATTGTGATTCATTTTTGGTTAGTTTTTTTTTTTAGCATAATGAAATGATTTTGGAGAAAAATTAGTTATGAAAGAATTGACATTAAGTTGAAAATATTGGATTTTTATTGCTCTATGTTATTAAATATATGGTAGTTATGTTGCTGTTTCAGAATAAAACTGGCATCATTTGGCAATTTTTATTATTTGAATGACTATTCTATACAACACGAGTTTGAGACACAGATCTTAGTCCTTTGGAAAGAGGTTTCTTTGCATTTTTCGAAAAGCAATTATTAATTGATGATAGCATAAAATATATCTATAATTGTTACAAAAGTATGTTTTCATGTAAGCAAAATTATAAAATTATAACAATTATAAAACAAAGAAAAAATTAATTTCTCACAATTTAAGATGTGTGAATTAGTGTAGAAATACTGGAATTTCACTGCTCTGTATGATTAAATATATCATAATAGCATTGCTGCTTTGGAATAAAACTGCTACTACTTGGCAGTGTTATATTTGTTTCTTTGAATGTCTACTCTAAATGGGTGATCAAAATATGATTGACTATTCCCATTGAATAGGAGCTGGATCTTCCTAGCTTTCAGTGTCTTCAACTTCAGTTTGAATAATATATAGTGGATACTCAGAATATTCTGAAATTTTAATGAGAAATGTAAACACAATTGTATTTATAAATAATTGTTAGTTTATTTTATTATTATTATTTACAATTTTTCTTTTTGTATCCCAGTTGTGGCCCTCTCCCCTCATCTCCTCCTAGTCCCATCTTCCTCCATCTTCCTCCCGTATACCTCTCCTAGTCTACTGAGAGTGGAGGTCCTTCTCCCCTGATGTCTGACCCTAGCCTATCAGGTCCCATCAGAACTGCCTGGATCTTTTTCCTCGGTGCACTGTCTAGGTTGCCCCACCAGGGGAAAGTGATCAAGGTGAGGCACCCAAGTTTATATCAGAGACTGTCTCTTCTTCCCTTACTAGGGAACCCCCATGGAGACTGAGATGTCTGTGGACTACATCTGAACAGGGGTTCTAGGTCCTCTGTAGGTATGATCTTTGGCTGATGCATCAGTCTCTGCAGTTTTCCTTGGGCCCAGATTTTTTTGGCTTTGTTGGTCTCCTTGTGTGGCTCCTTTCCCCTCGAGGTCCTTTTATTTTCCCCTTCTTCCATAAGACTCCCTGAGCTCTGTCCAAAGTTGGCTGTGAATCTCTGTATCTGCTTCTATACCCTGCTGGATGGAGTCTTTTAGAGGACATCTTTGGTAGGCTCCCATGCTGTTCCCTCTGTTCTACCACTTTGAGTGTCTATCTTGTTTTCCCTTCTGAATGAGAAAGAAGCATCTTCCCTAGGATCCTCCTTGTTGTTTAGCTTATGTAGGTCCGTAGATTTTAGTATGTTTTTCCTATATTATACAGCTAATAACTACCTATAAGTGAGTATATACCATGCATGTCTCTGCTTCTGGGTTCCCTCACTCAGGATGATCTTTTCTAGATCCAGCCATTTACCTGCAAATTTCCTGGTTTCCTTGTTTTTAATAGCTGAGTAGTATTCCATTGTGTAAGTCTACCACCATTTCTGTATCCATTCTTTGTTTGAGGGACATCTAGGTTTTTTCCAGATTTGGGCTATTATGAATAAAGCTGCTATGAACATAGTTGAGCAAATGTCCTTGTATATTTGAACATCTTTCAGCTACATGTCCAGGAGTGGTATAACTGGATCTTGACGAAGCACTATTCCCAGTTTTCTGAGAAAGTGACAGACTGATTTTCAAAGTAGTTGTACAAGTTAACATTTCCACCAGCAATGGAGGAGGGTTCCCATTGTCCACATCCTCTCTAGCATGTGATCACTTGAGTTTTTTATTTTAGCCATTCTGATGGTTGTGAGATGGAATCTCAGAGTCATTTTGATTTGTGTTTCCCTGATTACTAAAGACATTGAACATTTCTTTTAAGTGTTTCTCTGCCATTTGATATTCCTCTGTTGAGAATTCCCTGTTTAGCTCTGTACCCCACTTTTTAATTGGATTATTTTGTTTGTTGGTGTTTAGTTAATTTTCTTTACATGTATATGTATTTGTGTTTATCTGTTTGTTGATTCATCTCTGAATGGATACTCCAGTGTAAATTACAGGACAGTTCTTTGTACCCTGAAGATTTTTGGTAACAAGTATCTGGAAATTTGTTTATGGAGTATTTTTTTATTTTCTAATTCCACTGTGTTTTTGTTTGATATAACTGATGTAGAAGACATTGTAAACAGAATGGTTTATGTAAGAGGACTCATTGTCTCTTGATTTTGCAAGATGGTAGCCTGAAATTAAGGCATTCACAGAATTGTTTCTTTCATATGTTATGTGAAATTATGTGTTCAGTTATTCTCCATAGCTTTTGTTAATTCATTATTAAATTTTGTATTTACTGTCTTGTAGAAATATCTCAGTCTTTGCTTTTGTCTTAATGTGGTATTTTTTATGTTTGTGTGTCATGTGTCCCTAATTTCACTTTTTATAAAGATACCAATCATACTGTATTATGCATACTTGAAGTATTTCAAACTTGAGTACTTATACGAAGGACTTATCTTCCAGTAAAATGATAATCTAAGATATGGGCTTTAATATCAATTTCAAAGGGACACAACCCAACTTGTTCAGTATTGCAATGCTGTTCTTCTTGTCATACTTGACTAATGTCCACATAATTAGCAACAGTGTTTTCTATATTTCTCAAGCTAGTGATTATGCCTTTTCTGGTATCCATTTAATTCATAAAAAGTATCTTTTTGCTTTAAATTAGTCAAGGATTGAAAGGCTGTTTTCAATAATACCAATATTAAGAAAGTAAAAATTTCCTTATTTTACTAGTTGAGTGTTTTTATTTAGTTACAACCTGATAAAATACATATTCTTTTAAAAAATGTCTTTTCCTTGGGTATAATCCAAGTTTTAATACCTTACCAGAAGGTTCAGTGTAAGAAATTTTCCAACATGACAACATAATTACAGAATTATTAATACCTGTTTTATAACATATAGACAATTGGTTGTATCAATTACATCTGTTGTAATATCCAGAAACACCCTCTCAGACATGCTTAATCTGTGAGTCACTTGTTTGAATTTGGTTAGCATGTAAAGTTAACTGTCATGGGAGAAACAGCAGACAGAGTCTGTTATTTATATGTATACATAAAATATATGCTATGAGGTCTTAGGAATCTTATGTAAACTTACAAAAATGTTGTTGTGGACTTTCTGGAGTCTAGTTCTATGAGATAGATGAACCAGGTCCTATAAACATAAAGTGAGTCTTCCTAAAGGTCTTCCTGAGATATGACACAACGTTGTCACAATTTTGGTTCACTCTTGAGAACCAACAGGGTCTTTTAAATAAAAGAGGGATAGTTTAACGTCTTCCTTTCCCATTTCTATCCATTTTATCTTCTCTAATTGCTGTATCTAAGACTTTGAGCACTACATCAAATAAGACTGGGGAGAGTAAACATCTTTCTCTAGTCCTAATTTTAGAGAAAATGCTCAGTTTCATTTCATTTAATGTTAGCTATAGATTTGTGTAAATAGCTTTTATTATTTTGAGGTATCTTTCATCTATTCCTAAAGTTTACAGTACTTCTATCATGAAGACATGTCAGACTTTATCAAATGATTTCACAACATCAACTGAAATGATTATGTGGGTCATGTCCTTAAATTGATTTATATGCTGTATTATATTTTTGATTTGCACACATGGAACCAACCTTGCCTTTCTGGGATGAAACATACTTGATTTTAATGTACAATCTGCTTTTTCTAATTTATTTTTGATATTATTATATAATTAAAATTTTTCTTCCCTCATTTCCTCCTTATTATCCTTCCCATATATCCATCTTCATTCTCTTTCAGTGTCATGACCTCATTTCTCCCAGTTCTTATTGCATATATATATGTGAGTGTGTGTGTATATATATATATATACATATATATGTATATATGTGTGTATATGTATATATACACAGACATAATCCTAAATATAACCTGTGCCTATATAGTTATTTATATGTATGTTTTCAGGGCTGACAATTTGGCACCAAAAGAACTATTAAGACCACATATTCTGCTCCCACTTTTCCTGAGTTGCCTGTAGTCTTTTGTGTGGAGTTGAGGCTTGCGGGCTTCTCTTTGTCCATTTCGGCATGTGCATTGGTGTTGTTCCTCTTTAGTTTATATTTGGGCAGTAATATTAGTGAGACTTTATGTGTATAGCTTTTTTTTTTTAAATTCAGTTTACATCCTTGTAGACCAATCCTTCCTCCCTTCACAGTCTCCTCTCCTTCCTCCTCCCTCCTCAGAAAAGGGGAGCTCCCTTTCCCATCCACCCCAGCTCATCAAGTTGCATCAGGACTGAGCATGTACTTTTTCCCTGGAGCCTGTGAGGGGAGTCTCACCAGGAGTAAGTGATAAAAAAGCTGGTGAGTCCCTGTCTGATGCAGTCCCCACTTACCTTACTAGAGGGCCCATATGAAGCCTAACCTGCCCGTCTGCTACATCTTTGTAGGTGGCCTAGGTCCAGTTCATGCGTGGTCCTTGGTTGATGCTTCAGTCTCAGCAAGCTTCTCTGGGCCCTGGTTAGTTTGTCTCTTTTGGTCTTCTTGTGGAACTCCTGCCACCTCCAGGTCCTTTTTCTCTTTCTCCCACTTTTCCATAAGGCTCCCTATACATCTCCCAATATTTGGCTGTGACTCTAGGCATTTGTTTTCAGGCACTGCTGGGTTGAGTCTTTCAGAGGACAACTCTGACAGATTCCTGTCTACAGGCTTAGCAGAGTATCATTCATAGTGTCAGGGGTTGATATGCTCTAATATGGTGGGTCTTTGGTTGGTTTGTAGCTTTTGATATTATCA